ACTCACCTCAGCCTCCCAAAGTGCTGGGATTACAGGCTGAGCCACCGAGCCCGGCTGAAGGAAAACTTTTAAAAAATAACTTGATGCTGGATATTGTTTAAAAGCATGGACATAGTTGTCATGGGAAAAATCAGAACTTATCAGATTTTCTTACATGGATATTACCATAAAGCTACTGAGACTATATATTTCACATATATGTTCATATCCACATGTAGATATCATATAAAATTAAAAAGACTACAACTCACTAAAGGCTCAGATGATCATTAAGGATTTTTTAGCAATAAAATACTTTTTAATGAAGGTATTAGTTTTTTCAGACATAATGCTATTGAACACTTAGTAGACTATGATGTATAGTGTAAGCATAATGTTTATATGCACTGGCAAACCAAAAAAATTCATGTGACTCACTTTATGGCAGTGGTCTCAAACTGAACTCACCATATCTCTGAGATACGCCTGCAATTTCTTCTCTCTCTGAATTTGCCAGAGCATGTTTTCTTTTCTCTTAGCGCTCAACTTCTGCAACCTTCTTTGATAGCAATATGTGTTTCTTACTTTTCTTACTAAAAGATTTGCCCATAGGGAACCAAGCGTCTTACACAATTCATGACTGCATTTACCAGTTAACCACAGACAACTAGTCATGGCCTGAACTCAGTAGTTTGAAATTCAATAACGGTTGAATGAATCTACTGAATATTTTTTAAATGTCCATCTTAAAGAATGTTTGTCGTGTACAGCTGCTATGGAAAATGTTATAGTAATTCCCCCCAAAATTCAACATAGAATGACCATATGATCCAGTAATTCCACTCCTGGATATATATCCAAAGGAAATGAAAAGCAGGAACTCAAACAGATATTTCGTATACCAATGTTTATAGCACCATTATTTACAATAACCAAAAGGTGAAAGCAACTCAAGTGCCCATGGACAGATGAATGAATAAAGAAAGTGTAAGATATAAAGCAGTAGAGTATGATTCAGCCTTAAAAATGAAGGATGTTCTGATCCCACATGTTACAACATAAGTGAATCTTGAAGATATTAGGCTAAGTGAAATAAGCCCATCACAAAAGGACATATACTGTAGGATTCCACTTATATGTGGTTCCTAGAATAGTCAAATTCAGAAAGAATGGTGGTTGTCAGGAGTTGAAGGGAGGGGTATGTGGGGCGTCAGTGTTTAATGGCTATAGTCTTGGTGGCAAAAGATGAAAAAGTTCTGGAGATGGATGGTGGTAATTATTGCACAGCAATGTGAATGTGCTTCATGTGGATATACTTAATGCCACAGAACTGTAAACATAAAAATGATTGAAATAGTAAATTCTGTCATGCATATAACTTACCACAATAAAAAAAATAGTTCAGGGAACCAGCTTTTTGTCGCGTCGGTCCTTTGTATGATATTTTTGGTCTTGACTACACTTATCTATGACTTTAACAAGTTCTGCTAATTCTTGGATTGAATTGCTCTTGTCTTTTTAGCTCCCCTAGGTGCAACATTAGACCGTTTTACTTAAGATCCCTCTGTTTTCTTGATATGTGCATGCAATGTTATGAACTTCCCTCTCAGCATTGAATTCATAGTATCCCAGAGGTTTTATGTGTTGTGTATTTGTTTTTGTTTGTTTCTAGGAATACTTTTATTTCTGTCTTGATTTCTGTGTTAACCCAAACGTCATTAGGGAGCGTGTTGTTAATTTCCATGTTTTGTTTGTTTTGGGGGTTCCTATTGGTGGTGATATTTTGTTTTATTCCATTGTGGTCTGAGAAGATGCTTGGTATGATTTCAACTTTTTGAAATTTGTTCAAACTTGGGTGGGAGGGAGGGAAGGATGATGAGAAACACATAACTGCCCATTGGGTAGGTACCATGTCTACTACGGAGTTGTTGTTGCTTGTTGTGATTCTTTAGATGAAGGAATATGCCAATAGTGAAACTGTGTGTTGTCTGGGAACTGGAATTATTCCACTATGAATGTTTTCATGTTTCTTGGCATTTTGACATTAATACATTACCAGATTCATACAAAATTATTGATTGAAAAAAATGCATGATAAGTTGTGTAAATAAATAATTATGACAGTGATGAATACATATGATGCTGACACTTTCAATTTCCCCTTTAATCTCCTAGTTTTCTAAATTTGATTTAAATCCTTAAATATTCATCCTAAAGCTAAAATTTTTATTTATTTATTTTTTAGTCAGAGTCTCACTCTGTTGCCCAGCCTGGAGTGCAGTGGCATGCTCATGGCCACCACAGCCTTGGCCTGCTGGGCTCAGGCTATCCTTCTACCTCAGTCTTTCAAGTAGTTGGAACCACAGAAACATGCCACCATGCCCAGTTAATTTTATGATTTATTGTAGAGACAAGGTCTCGCCAAGTTGCCCAGGTTGATCTTAAAACCCTAGACTCAAACAATCCTTTCATCTCCACCTTTCAAAGTGATGGGATTACTGGCATGAGCCACTGCACCTGGTTCTAGCCAAAAGTTTTACATGTGTATTACTTTCTGATTATCAAATTAATATGTGCTTATAGTAAAATATTCAAATATTATTTTAAAATGTATTATCTAGAAAGTGAAAAGTCTTCATAATCTCAAGTGATGACTTTCGCTAACAATTGGAGTGTGTGCATTTTTTGTTCATATAATTGTGATTTTTTTAAACAAAAATACTGTTATGACTATTACACTGTCAATTACTTTTGCAGTGAAAAATAGATTTTGCCTATCTTTAGATGTCCAGATAGTCATCTGTATTAGTCAATGTTCTCCAAAGAAATAGAACCAATAGGATATAGAGATATATAGAAAGAGATTTTTTTATGAGGAATTGACTCAGCAGCTGATGGAGAATGAGAAGTCCCACAATTTCCTCTCTGAAGGCTGAAGGTCCAGAGGAGCCAATGATGTAGCTGGTCCAAGTTCAAAGACCTGAGAACCAGGAGTGCTGATATCTGTGGGCAGGAGAAGATGGATATCCCAGCTCCAAAAGGAAGAATAAATTCACAGTTCCCTTGCTTTTTTGTTCTATTTGTGCCCTTTATGGATAGGAAGGTGTCCACTCACATTTACTCAGTAGGCTTGATACAAATGATAATCTCTTCTAGAAACATACTCAGAAATAATGTTTTACCAGCTATCTGGGCATCCTCTAGCCAAGTCAAGTTGATATACAAAATTAACCATCAGACCGTCCTCTCTATGTTTTTTAATTGCTGCACAGTATTCTATTATGAGGTCACATCTTAATTTACCCCATATTTCAATTAGTGGGGAATATTTCCTGACCATAGACAATGTGTGTTGAAATGAACAATGATATTCAGCTTTTCCTGAGTGTATGCACCTGCATGTTTCTGTGTGCTGGATGTGAATGACTGGATCAAGTTAAAAGCACATTTGTAATTTTAATAGGTAGTTGCCAAATTTTAACTCTACTTTGGCTGGCCTGCAACAACCCAAACACTTTACAAAGTTGTGATTGATTGTAGTAGAGGCTGGTAGTTTAGATCTTTAAGTTGAAAATACCCCAATAAGAATGCCTAAACCTTATTCAGTGGGTTTTTCCAAGCCTTAGATTCAGCTTGGGTAACCGGATAACAAAATGCCCTTATGGAAATGCCTTAACTTGAGCCTTGTGAGTTCTTCAAGCCCCTACATTCAGCTTGCTTAACAAGGAATCAAGAAAAGTTTAGGACGACAAATTTGCAGCCACTCTTCATCACTGGGATATGTCTTCCTCACTTCATGAGATATTTGTTCATTCTACTACATTTAACTCTTCTTAAAGTCCTCTACTAAATAAAAAATCATGACAAAATGTTATACATCACTTTAAAAATGTATAAGTCAATTATAACCTCACCCTTCATAATAAATCCCAGCTGAAATTTGGTGATTGTTTTCACTCTGATAATTATGATGTTTGTCAGATTCCAGAATGTCAATGCTTATACTTTTCACTTTTGTTGTGTCTCATTAGCTCCACTCTTTCATGAAGAATTATAGACAGGCTTTAATTTTTCCATATTCTTTTAGGTCACATGGCTTGTAAACGTTATTTTGTAATTTAACAAAGAACCTTAAAAATAAAAAGCAAAGCACTTAAATAGCCAGTGTTGAGTTGAATTTTTATTTTCAAAACAAAGCCTATGGGAATAAAATTGCTTCTTCTCCACCAAAATTTCCCACAGTTCGAGTATGTTAGCAACCCATAAAAAATGAAGGCACTGTTGCTTGCCAAGCAAAGAAAAAATATATTTATTCAGTTATTCAGGAAATATGACATTTATTCATTTGTTTCTCACTCTTTTTGGGAACTTGTGGGGTGCCAAGCATAATGTAGACACAGTACATAATCTCCTGTAATAACATACATTTTTCCCTACTCTCTCTACCTCCAACCCTGATACTGTATGACTCCTGTAAATATAGAAAACCTATCAAATATGAATTCTTCATGTTCAAAGGAACATTTAAGAACAATTATTTAAAGACCCAAATTACCTTTCCTCACAGAGAACTAAAAACTTGTTTTTTGGTGTATATACACATATACACAATTTTTTTTTCTCCATGATTACACACTATTTACACATCTGTGCCCAGGATTAAGGATAATGAAACTCAACCACAAAAATGAATAAATAATGTCTAATTGTAGTATTGGAATTTATCAGTTTACAGTGGTTGCCTCCATATTCACCTTTCTTTTGATCTTCTTGTAGACGTTATTGTTATTGACTGCAAATGCCTCAATATTTTTGCTCATTGGAATGTGGTTTGACAGATTAATTATATGTTACCAGGCAGTTGAAGATCAACTAAAGATATGTGGTCACAAGAGGGATGCTGATGTCTTCGAGTTGTTCCTTTCTAAAAAGTAAGTGTTTTTTTACATTTAAAAAAAGTAGGAGAATATCATGTTATAATGCTTCATAGATTCAACTGTCCTTTTCCATTTTTCCCGTTAAGGATCTAGTAGACAGCCATACACTTAATTACTTTGGGGTCCACAGTTCCTATTGGGAGCCAAGTATTGAAATGGATAAAAAACAAAGATTATGGAACCAGACTGAGTTCGAATCCCAGCTCTCTCTTCCAGCTGGGTGAGCTGCAGCTTGTCACATGGCATTTTTTTTGTTAGAATTGTCAGATTTAGCAAATAAATATATAGGACATTCAGTTGAATTTGAATTTCAGAGAAACAATGAATATACTTTTTTAGTATAAATATGCCCCACAAAGTCTTTGGAACATTTGCTGTTTGTCTGAAATTCATATGTAACCTGATATTTTGTATTTCATCAGGCAACTCTATTCCTCATGTATAATAATACTGCCTTATTCACAGGGTTGTTGTGAAGATTAGGTGAGTTAGAAAAATTTAGTGAGCATTGTCAGTTCTCGGTAAGCAATCAGTAAAGTGTTAGTGTGTTAGTACAGTTAATATTATTACTATTATTAGGCATCATTATACCCTTATACTATAGTAATAACCCATATTCTACTACAACCCTAACAACTCCTATTCTAATTTTACTGGTAAATAGGAAAAGCCCTCCCTTGTATCAAACAGCCCTCTTTGACTCCACTTGAATTCTCCAGGGCAGCAGACAACAGAGTGGGATTTTCTGTAGAATAGATCTGGTGTCTGAGATAGAGCCTGGGCATAAGAGGAAGTTATGGACAAGATGAGACTATGGCACCACAGTTCTCACTAGCCAATAACTCACACCAAAGTTTGCATTTTAAGAACAACAACCCTAGTTGAACACGGTAGCTCACTCCTGTAATCCTAGCACTTTGTGAGGGGTAGGCAAGAGGATTGCTGGAGCCCAGGGGTTTGAGACCAGCCTGGGCAACTTAGTGAGACCTTGTCTCTACAAAAACTCAGCCGGGTGTGGTGGTGCATGACTGTAGTTCCAGCTACTTAGAAGGCTGAGGCGGAAGAATGACCTGAGCCCAGCAGTTTGAGGCTGCGGTGGCTGTGAACACACCACTGCACTCCAGCCTGGGTTACAGAGTGAGACTCCTATTCAAAAAAAATAAAAATAAAAACAAAATAGGAACAGAAATCCTATTCCTACTCTTTTTTTTCTCTCCTTTATGTTTTTTAATGCCTGTGAATTCTATGTATTATTTTAAAATAAACTTGACCTATTTACTCATATGTAATCTTTGAAACTCAGCTTCTTGTAAAAAACAAGTCCTACTTTGTCAATGAATTTAATCACTTTGCACGCTAGCGATTTCTTTACTGACAAATATTTATTTTATTATACATATATATTTATTTTTATCATTACAGAAAAGAATGTTCACCTTTGAATGACTCTGAATCTCTTGCTAGTAAGAGAATAAATAAATGACCAATTTGAAATTTTTTCAAGTGTATTTTTTCATATGGAGCAGGTAGATTAGAGCATCCTGTCACATTAAAGGTCATGCTTTTTATAAATCAGTTTTACAATAGCAATAAATACTTCATGTGATCAAAAGATTACATCTCTAAGCCTTTCATGATCTTGACAATTTTACACTATTGATCACTAAGGTAAGCAGAGAAGCATAAGAATAGCTTTAACACACTAGAAAATTTGAAATATTGATCCCTGGACAGTGGGTAATTAATGGTCTTCTTGAGTGAAGGACAACATCTTTTATATTCTAAGAATACTAAGTCACCATTTCATCCAGCTGGGGACAAAAAATATTTCACAGTCCAGCTGCCAATAAACTGAATAAACTGATTTATTTGCCTAAGTTTCTATTGACTCTGGAAAATGGAAAGCATCTTATTGATGTCTTCTTAAGTGATCACAGAGAAAATACACTGTGACAAGATATTGACAATTATTGTCAGCATGAGTCATTGCCATCATTGGTAGAAGAATTATCTCTCAGTATCTTCAACTAGCGTCACCTTAAAACGTAACAGCCCATTATAGATTTAGGACAGGTTTATGTGCAGAATCAATGCTTCTGGCAAGGAAGAGTTACAGTACTCTTGAAAAGTGAATAACTTTATTGCATAATCGAATCAGTAAAAATTTAGCATTGATATTACTACTATAAGAAAATTAATGGCAATAGCTTGACACAGTTAATACTTTAGGGTATTTGTGTATTGAAATAATGCTTGAAGAAAATCCTTTAAGTAGGGCATGAGAGCCCTCTGAAGCTACCATGTAATGATCACGTTATTATCCATCATGAGAACAAATGAAGTTAATGTACTATCATTATTGCCCAGTGCAATATTAAGGTGCACCAAGGTCCAAGTGCTCCTTCCCAGAAATAGGCCACCTATCTACAGTGAAGGAGGAGAATGTAGTGTTATTTCTGTAAATGTCCTGTCAAAAGCGGTTTTAGAGGAGTCTGGAATATTTTGTTGTCCCAAGAAAGTATTCAGAGAGTAATGGTACAATTCAAACAAGATACAGAAGTCTACTTGAAATGTCTTCTGTATGGAATAATTTGAGATTTATTTTAGTGACGAAGGATTGAAAAAACCTTTTTAAACTTCAGGAAAGGTAGGGATGAGAATGAATGAGAAAGAAGGGGTAAGGGCAGATGTTCTTTGCAGAAGAATACCGGTTGACAAATGTAAGAAAAAAAAAAATGAGAACATTAGAATGATCATCATTTTATAATCTCAAATCTATTGATTTGGGTAAGGATTTTAACATGAGTATTTTCAAAGTGCTTAGAAAAGTGCCCGACACATAATATGTGATTTATAAGTGATAGAGACATATATGTATTCAAATTTAGGGCCACAATTTCTGCCCTGAGAAATAAAAGAGATCCGAATACTCCAGCCCACATCAGTCAAATGGTCAAGAGTCCTCAGATAGCTCCCTCTCTCCACCCTATGGCTGCCCCCGTGCTGTGTGTGCTGCCTCGTAGTGATAGGTATAGGTCCTCTTGGATAGCTGGAGCTCCACACAGTTCTAGAAGGGTGGGTAGCATTTTGACCCTGTCAATAATAATAAAGCGCTTCACTCAGTCTCTGTCTCTTGATGCCCTGAAATTTCCATCTCTGCAGTTCAGTCTGGCCAAGATCGAGACTGACTCCTAAGTAATAACATTGCAGACCATCTTGAAGCAGAGCCAACTGTGTTTCCCACATTTACTTGAAGGGTCAGTGGCATCTTCATTTTTTTCCCCTTTGCTCTCCCCCAGTAAAATTTGTTTTGAATTGAGGTTCCAATAAATTCAGTCATAATGAGCTCTACATCTTTGTTAATGTAATAAAATACTCTCCTTTAAGTAGTAGTTTTAACTAGCGAACAAAATCTTAATCCAAATAAAATTAGAATGATGGAATTTCAGAAATTAGCAGGTAGGTGTGCCAACAATTTTGGAAGAACAAAGAGAGAACCCTTTCCATTTACGTTCAGGCCATACTATCTACATGCCTGTCTACCCAGGAGTGAATTAATTGTTGCTAATGTTCTCATTGTTTTATTCCCCTCCAGGGAACTAACAGAAGTCATTGATCTTTCCAGGTTTAAAAAATTAAAATACTTATGGCTTCATCATAACAAGGTAGTATTATATTTTATCACTAAATTACTAAAATTAAATTATTATCTTACTTTCATGTTTCTTTTTTTTTTTTTTTTCCAATTTTTATGTTTTTAAATAGAGACAGCGTCTTGCTGTATTGCCCAGGCTGGTCTCAAACTCCTAGCCTCAAGCAGTCCTTCCTTCTGGTCTACCAGCGTGCTGGGATTATAAGCATGAGTCACCACACCCAAGCTCCTTAATTGCATGTTTCTAATAGAGCTAATCTTTAAAGTATTAATATGTTATACTTAAAATTTAAATTTAAGTAAGAAACCTATATATGTGTGTGTGTGTGTGTGTGTGTGTGTGTGTGTGTGTGTATATATATACAAATATATTTTTATATATATGTCTAGTATACACACATACACACAGTATATTGAAGAAAGAAAATCTGTGAGGTGCTATCCAACTGCAATTTTGCTTTTCTCTCGTGTCTGTCAAATCAGCTAAGCAGAAGACATTCCGTCCCAGGATCCTGGAAGAAAACTTAAACAATCTCACAGTGTTTTTCCTTCTCTCTTAGGTAATACAAAATCCTACAGTCCATTTGAATCACAGTTATAGTTCCAGTTCATAAACGAGACTATATTACCCAATTGTCAATCTTCAATCACACAATGAGACACTCTCCTCCTTCTTATCCAGCCAGGGCTGAATTCAGATGGCCACCTGCCTTCTTATTAACTAGGATGATGTGTTTGGCTGTTTTCCTTCCTTCTCACTTCACGCCAACCTTCTCCAAGTGTGGTATGGAAGGGGGTGGTGTGAAGTCAAGGAAAGACAACGAGGAAACAAAGTTCTTTGCTTTGAGGCCAGGTGCAGTGGCTCACACCTGTAGTTCCAGCACTTTGGGAGATCGAGGCGAGAGGATCACTTGAGCCCAGAAGTTCGAGACCAGCCTGGACAACATAGTGAGGCCTCGTCTCTACCAAAAAAACAGTTAGCTGGGCTCAGTGGTGCATGCCTGTATTCCCAGCTACTTGGTAGGCTGATGCAGGAGAATTTTTTGAGCCCAGGGGTTGGAGGCTGCAGTGAGCCATGATTGTGCCACTACACTTTAGCCTTTAGCCTGGGCAACAAAGTGAGACTGACCAAAAAAAAGTTATTTGCTTCATACCTTCTAGGACTAACAGATGTGCAAAGTTGGTCTATCTCCTATTGCCTATTGGGAAATTTCTCTGTGAGGCCTCTCCAACACTGACTGTTCTTCACTGGCCATTGCTAACCCCGGCTCACCTTTATTCCAGACTACTGACAGCTGAAGAGTTCCTGGCCTTGGCACATCACCCCCTTGGGCAGACTCCCTTGGAAAACTCAGATCAACATCCCTACAGTGGGCCCACATCCAGTTCCCAGGACCCACAGCGTGATTGCTACCCAAGCCGGTTTAGCTTCCACAGGAAGTGTCAGGCACCAGGCTACCATATTCCCAACTGAGGAGACCTGTCTGCAGCCCTTGAAGGTCATGACTATAGCCCTTGAAGCTTCTCTTAGAGGCTAAGGTTTAGGAAGCAGTGCCCTCTCGCCTCTTCCCTCCTATGGGGAGCCTGAGTGTGGGACTTCAAGCTCTTGCCAAGCAAAAGAACAAGACTAAAACATAAACCCAGATCATCATTATAGCTAGCCAGTCGGTAGGTTATTGTCAAATTTCAAAATTCAGCTTTCCCACAGCTTGTATTTTGTTCATTATAGACTACGTTGATAACCTGATCTTAGCATTTTGAATTTAGATTTTCACACACTCCTACAAAAAAAAATTCAGTTTTCAGAAGAAGCCTGCCTGTCAAGCAATAGTCTAGATTCTCAGCACTGAATCTTTGAACAACCCTATTTATGAAAATATTTCAATATGGTATTGCATTTTAGGCCTTTTTGTTGTTGTTGTTCAAACCAACTGAGTGGAAAGTGGAAAACGAAAGTACTTTAGTGTTAACTGTGAGCATAAATCTCTTAAGTTTGAAATAATTTCTAGGAGAACAAACACGAATACCTTCAAGGCCTGGGCAGCTGAGAACTGAAATGGAAAACACACTTACACTTAAGGGCATACGAGTTCAAGACGCTTTAAAAACACCCTCTGCCAAAAATTATGCCAGGTCACAGCATGTGGTGTCTGATTAGAAAAAATTGGAAATCATCAGGTGTGGCAAAAATGACTAACTTTGTTTTTGGTGTGTTCTCATGGTGTTCAACTGTGTTCAGTTTTGGAGGAAAGAACATGTACAAATGTTGACAGTGTGTCTAAAGGGAGAAGTCTAATTAGGTTTATACTGTTTTTTGGCTCTTCTGGGAGCAAATATCGTCCAACCTCTGCTCACTGGTTTCACACAATTGACTCACAGATGTATGTACACATAGGGGTTGTGAACACTTTTGATTTTCTTTTGTTTCTGAAGGAGACAGGGCAAACAAGTCATACAGCAAGAGACCAAATTCTTATGCTTGAGTATTTATACACAACACACTATATTATTTCCAAAATCACCATCACTTAGTTTGTTCTTGAAGAAACATACTTGTTTAGTCCATATAACAATGAAAGGGTACCTTACCCAAAACAGGTTTTGAGTGGTCTTGGGATAGGTGAATAAGCTAATGATCAGTAATCTACTGGATGCTAAGTTGCTTGAGTACTCATACTCCATAAGAACTCATACTCCATCAACAATTAAAGTCTTATTGAGGTTCCAAAACTAGTGGACATATTAGCTATTACAGTATTTCATAAAAGTTCATAGGCAAAATTTTAATTATGAGTTTTATTTGAAATCTGGACTACACTAGATTGACCACCAAGAAGATACTATGCTACTGTGGAAATGGTATGTAGAATTGTGGTATGAAACATGAACACTGACAATAACACTGAATACAAATATTTAGAATTCTAACATTTTGCTATAAATGATATGAATCTGTGACCATCATTGTTCTGATATTAGTGAATTCTTTAGGCTACCCTCTATTTAGGAAAAAAAATAGAGCAGTAAAATAAAGCGAACACATCTTTATTTATTCACTTTTTCAATCCGCAATATTTGCTGAAGTCTGTGAGGTCATTGTTGGTTGTCCATTCAATGTCCATTCTCTCCTTTTTTCCAAACCCAAGAATCTGAGTTTGGATTTTGGTACTTACTCAAGTAGGTGGCACCACCCAGTTCCAGGGGTGAATCCTGGACTGTCTAAACTAACCAGGATAATCCCACCCTCTTGGTGAGTGACTAGTTAGTGAATGGGCATGTAATCCAATTGAAATGGAAACTTAAGCATTTGCTATGAGACTTCTGGAAGAGACTTCCTTATTCCTGAAAGAGAGCATTAGAAGGGAGATCGCTTGTTCCTTCTGAATGTTTTATTGCCTAGATTTGAAGCCAGTAGCTATCCTATCAACTTGATAATTTCAATTCTCTGAATCCAGAGAATCAGAAGACTGAGGCTCTCACAATTTCCAGACTCATTGATATGTGAGATAATTAACATTTTTATTTTATGTACCTAGTTTAACTAGGCTTAGAAGTTTCTTGGTGCCCAAAGTATACTACTTATATGGTTTATTCTGTGCTTGCATTAGGCTACTAACAAAATATAACAGTAAATGTGATGATCTCTGCTCTAGTGGTAAAAGTGGGAGGGACAGAGGGATTGGTTCTGCCCCTGGTAAGGACATCTTGTTTGTAAGCTGCCTGGAGGGAGACAACGGAGTTGTCTTTGAAGGCAGTGAATTCAGTTTGGTGAGCTTAGAGCATAGTATGCTGGAAGGACTTGTTGGTCTTCCAAACATTGGGATGGTAAAGCTTGAATTTTTGGTTCAAACCTGGACAAGTTAATGAAACGGGCAGAAGTTTGTCCCTAAGGACTTCGATGTCCTAACTTCCCTAGATTTGCTCTGGCAACTCTGATTCCTTCATGATGTTCTCTGAGGGCTTGCTCCCTCCTCATAGTGCATTCATATTCCCTAGCATTGTGTCTCCTCCTTTGGGAGGTCATGTTTTCCTAACATCTTCTGATATAGTTAGTGGGAGGGATAATTAATGGCGGCTGCTCCTAGGTCTAAAGTTTCCCTTCCTTGTCTCACCCTCTAACAAGTCTGACCTAGAGAATTTTAGGTCTACAAGTTCATTCTTTCCAACTTTCATGAGAAGTTGGGTTCAGCTCAGATAACTAAGTGATTTGCATTTTATACTACAATTTATAAGGCACATACATATGATCTCTTTCTGTCTTGACTCATTACTTAAAAATTTTTCTTTTATAGATGTCCAGTAATGAGCTCTGCATTTATAATATTGGTGCCACTATGTTAGTATCCTTCTATTTCTAGAAATACAGCAGTAGTTTCTTATATTTCATTTTTGTCTCAGATTATGATAAGCATTTGATGAAGAGCCTGTATAATGCTTCACCAACCCAAAGTAAAATCTGGGTTTCCTCTGTGCAGCAAAAAACAAACAGTTGCGACAGTTTATAAATTCAATTTAAATACTAAGTCCTCTTCTGGCAAAATTATTGTTTATAAACACCATATCTAAAGCATAATTGAAACACTAATTTATAATGGCATCATTCACACTAACTGACCAGAGAATGGTCAGATTAGAATACATGCTTTCAGAAAGATACTAGGCTCAATTTTTATACTGTTAAGATATGTTGTTTCCTATCTCTTGGATAGTCATGCAGCACATATTGAGAATTTAGTAAATAGCACAAATGTATACATTTTAGAACGAAATACTAGCTAGGCGCAGTGGTGGCTCACGTCTATAATATTTGTACTTTGAGAGGCAGAGCCAGGAGGATTGCCTGAGCCCACGGGTTCAAGACCAGCCTCGGCAACATGGCAAGACTTCATCTCTACAATATATCAAAAAACAAACTGAGCATGGTGGCATGCACCTGTAATTTCAGCTACTTGGATGGCTGAAGCAGAAAGATCACCTAAGCCCACCAGGTTGAGGCTGTGGTAACCATGAGCA